TTACTGCTATCACAAACATCCCTCCTGGGGGAGCCATTCCCGCATCCCTAGTGTGCCGGGAAGGGTGGGAAAGGCAGAGCCAGCAGCCCTGGGGCAGGAGAGGCACCTCTATTGCAGGTGACAGTGGGGCACATCCCCATCCCAGCCCTTCCTGGGGCTGGGACAGATGCCGTGGCCTCAGCTCCATGTTTCTCTCTTCCAGCAGCATATCCCACTGCCTATGCTCCCATCAGCCAAGCCTTTCCCCAGCAGGCACCGCTCATCCCGCAGCAGCAGCGAGAAGGTGAGGGGTGGGAGTCACCCCTCTGTGGGGCCGGGGGCTCCTCGGTGTCCCCCCAGGGTGATCCCACCTCGTGGCTCACTTGTGCTGTCCTTTGTGTGTCACCCAGGTCCCGAGGGCTGTAACCTGTTTATTTATCACCTGCCCCAGGAGTTCGGGGACGCGGAGCTCACGCAGATGTTCTTGCCTTTCGGCAACGTCATCTCTGCCAAAGTCTTTGTGGACCGTGCCACCAACCAGAGTAAATGCTTTGGTAAGTCCCGGGGTGTGGCTCTCCCTGGTGTCCCAGCTCGGAGCTCCAGCTGTCCTCAGCATCCCAGCTCAGAGGTCCAACTCTCCTCAGCATCCCAGCCTGGAGCTCTGGCTCTTCCTCAACATCCCAACTCAAGGGTCCAGCTCTCCTCAGCATCCCAGCCCAGAGGTTCAGGTTTCCTCAGCTTCCCAGCTTAGAGATCCAGCTCTCCTCAATATCCCAGCTCTCTCCAGTCTCCAGCTTGGGGGTCCCATTCTCCCTCCTTGGCTCTTCCCAGTGTTCCCAGCTCAGGGGTCTGGCTCCACCCAGTATCCCCATATTGGGGGTCTGGCTCTCCCCAGTGTCCCCAACTCAGGGGTCTGAGCATCTCCATCTTGGGGGTTTGTCTCTCCCCAGTGTCTCTGCTTGGGAGTCCATCTCTCTCCAACATCTCATTTTGGAGTCTGTCTCTTCCCTGGTCTCCAGCTCAGATGTCCATGTCTCCCTGATATCCCCAGCTCAGGGATTCATCTCTCTCTCTCACAGACCTTGGTGTCCCCACAGACCCTGTCACCTTGGTGTCCCCATAGGCTCTGTCACCTCAGTGGTGTCTTTGGAGGCCCCATCACCTCAGTGTCCCAACAGACCCCGTCAGTCTTGTGTCCCCACAGATCCTGCAGGCCTTGGTTTCCCCACAGATCCTGCAGCCCCTCAGTGTCCCTGCAACCCCCATCATCTTGGTGTTCCCACAGACCCTCAGACCTTGGTTTCCCCACAGATCCTGCAGCCCCTCAGTGTCCCTGCAACCCCCATCACCTTGGTGTCCTCACAATCCCCACCAATTTGACAGACCCTGTCATCCCAGTGACCCCACAAATTCAATCCCATAACGTCCCTGCAGACCACTCCAGTGTCCCTGTGGACCCTCCTATGCTGGTGTCCCCACAGACCCTGTCACCTCAGTGTCCCTGCTGACCTTGGTCTCCCCGAACACGCCGTCAGCCTGTCACCCAGTCCCCTGCAATCCGGGGCTGTGCTGTCACCCCACAACTCCCTCTCCCAGCACCCCTAACACAGGAGCATCCTGTGGGATTTCAGTGCCTGTGCTGAGGTGAAGCAGCTGCCTGTGATGTCTGTGGTGACAAACCCTGCTGTCCCCTCCCCAGGTTTCGTCAGTTTTGACAATCCGACGAGCGCCCAGGCGGCCATTCAGGCCATGAATGGCTTCCAGATTGGCATGAAGAGGCTAAAAGTCCAGCTAAAGCGGCCGAAAGATGCCAACAGACCCTACTGACCCCAGCAGAGAGGTGAGGGGGGGACTGGCCCACGGTGCCTGGGGGGGTCGTGGCAGTCAGGGTGGGCCCCCCCAGGGCATCGCTGTGTTATGTCCCTGAGCGTGTGCAGGGATCTCTGTGCCCGGGACCCTCTGTGTGCGTGTTCCCAATGGATTTGGGTCCTTCCCTGCCTCCTTCCCTCCCTCCATCCCCCAGGAACCAGGCTAACAGCCCCTTCCCTCTTTTTCAGGTCGGGCGTCCCGCGGTGTCTGACGACTTTCCCCCTTCCCCAAGTGCAGTATCCAAACCCGTAACTCTCTTTCTTTGCTACACATCCCGGAGGAGGAAGAGGAGGAGGAGGAGGAGGAGGAGGAGAAAATGGTGAAGAAGAGAGTGTTTTGGTCGTAGCTTTTCCTTTTTGAATTTTTTCCCAAACTGGTCTTGTTTGTTATTTAACGGGAACGAGAGGAAGACAAGGAAGGAGGGGAGCGATGCGACGCCGGGGCTGCGATTCGCCGCCGGCCGCTCGCCGGGACTCACCAATCCCTCACCGGGAAAGGGCCGGCGGCCCCCGGGCAGCGGGGCCACGATCTACCTTTGGTTTTGGGGTTGTTTTTTTTTTTTTAAAGCACTCATTTGCTGCTACCGATTTCCCAGGAGAAACGAGGAAAAGAGGCTCCAAATGGATTCTTAAACCAAAGCCGGTGGGACGGGACCAGCCTCGGGCGCTTCACCTGGAGGATGCTTGTTTGGAAAAATAAAGAAACGGCAAGATTTTCCTTTTTCCCTGCGATGGGGAAAAAAAAAAGAAGGATCAAAGTATGTTGGACTTATAGAAGATATATATAAATAAGTATATATATATATATATCCCATGGAGCAGGGCGGCGGGACACGCGCTTCCCCTGCTTGTCACTGGCACAGGGACATAGGATTACTTGTTTCAGAGTCATATCATTCCTTAGAGTTTAGGGACCAAAGGACTATTGCTTTTTTTAAATATATCTATAAATAAATTAATTTAAAAAAAAAAACAACAAAACACACAAAAAAACGTTGGGAAAGGAGGAGAAAAATCCAACAGAAATTAAGAAGGTTGAGTAAAACCCTCAGGCGTTCAGAGCCGTGAGCGTTTCCTACAGGGCTTGGATTTGTGGGGCTCAAGGGCTCGGTTTTGGGGGCCAGTTCGTGGCTGGGGATGGGGGGATACAAAGGGGATTTTTGGGGGGGCTGCGGTGGCTCCCCCAGCCCTGTGGCCCAGGGGGAGTCGGAGCCCCTCGGTCGCCTCTGGGCGAGGGCGGAGTGATGCCGGTCTTTGCATTTCGGGTTGGTTTGGGGGGTTTTTTGGGTTGGGGATTTTTTTTTTTTCAGCCAAAAAAAAAAGTAAAAAAAAAAAAAAAAAAAAAAAGGAAAAATGTGAGGTTTCGGCAGAAACGAAGCGAAGCGAAATAAACTTATTTTGTCAAACTCGTCACCTTGGTTGGTTCTTCAGAGCAATCACTGCCGCGTCCATCCCACCACCCAGAGGCAACAGTGGGGCCCCTTTCTGACCAGCTCGACTCCAGCTGGGCCAGAGCACCCGCTGGGAATTTGGTGAAATCGGGAGAGGACTGTGAGCCTCTCTTTTTATTTGCTTTTTCCCAGGAATTACTGTTTTTCAGAGGAATTCACCATGGCTGTGGAGGGGATTGGGGCAGGACCTGACCCCTGTGGTTCCCCCGATCTTTCCAAGCAATGCTGGAGATTCAGGGGGATGTGGCCATGTCTCATGGGATGTCCCCTCACAGCTGAGGGTACAGCTGAGTGACTACCGGGATCCTGGGGAAGTGACTGGATTTATTTTTTGCTTAAGGAAGGGACAAATAACCAAACCTCACAAACTTAATCAAAAAAAGCCCCAAGGGCTGGGTGACAGAGTGGGTGGTGAGGGGACAGTCACCAGCCTGGGTTTGGGCCCCCCTTGGGGACATGGAGCAGCTGGTGTGGGATGAGTGGGAATGGACAGATGTTGGGGTCCCTCCAGGGGGGACAGAGGGCGCTGACATGGCAGAGGTGACACTGAGGCTGCACCCACTGGTGTGATGAGCCTGTCAAGGTCTCAGCTGGTGACTGTACCTAACCAGGGTAATTTTTATGTCAATTCTTAATTTCTTTTATAAATCCTGGCTGAAATTGTGACAGACCTGGAAAGCCCCCAGGCCATGGGGAAACCTCAGTGCCCAGCCACCCCTGCCAGCCCCTCACCCCTGTGCTGAGCCCCAGGACCCTCCGGGGCTTCTCAAGTGGGTTTTCATCCAGGCTGGGGCACGGCAGGATGCAGCCATGCCAGCACTGCCTCTGTCTGAGGAGTTATTGGGATTGGCTTGGGCTGAAATAAAACACCATCCCTGGGAGGTTCCTTCGTATTTGAGGCTATTTGCTGTAGCCTCAGTCCCTGCAGCGTCCCCTCAGTGGGGTCCCATCCCTGAGGCACAATCCCTTCTCCATGGTGTGGTCCCCACTCCACAGCACCATCCCTTTGCCATGTGATTCTCTTCCCACAGACCTAGCCCTTTCCCAAAGCCACATCAATTCCCTATAACACTTTCCCCCATGATTCCATCCCTTCCCCTTAATTCTATCCCTTCCCCTCAATTCTATCCCTTCCCTTCAATTCTATCCCTTCCCCATGGTCCTATCCTAACCTGTGCCACCATCTCTTCCCTGTTAACCTCTCCCTTCTCCACCATCCCATCCCTTCCCAGTGCCCCCGTCCCTTTCCCATGATCGCATCCCTTTCCTGCATCCCCATTCCTTCCTCACCATGCCATCCTTTCTCCATGCCTCTCTCTTCCCCACAATCCCATTCCTTCCCTGTGCCCCTATCCCTTCCCTACAATCCCCTCCCTTCCCAACGCCCCAATCCCTTCCCCACCATCCCCTGCCCTCCCCACCCCCCAGACTTTAACCCCAGTTAAATCCACCAACACAGATTTCTTTTCTCTTTTTTTTTTTTTTCTGTGTTTTTGGGTTTGTTTTGGTTCTTTGTTATTTTTTTGCTTCTGTTTCTCATCGATAAAAACGCTGTCGCTGCCAACGCCAGGAGGGGCAGCCCCCGGCCCCGGCCCCGCGGCTCCTTCTCCACGCTGCCACAGGGTGGGGACACCGAGGACAGGACAGGGAGGGGACAAGGGACCGCCAAACCCGCCTGGTGCTCCCGGGGTGCCCCACGCCTATGTACAGGTGGAGCCACGGCACTGGCCCCGGCTCTGCCCTGCCCGGGGGGCTCAAATCCCACTCGGCCTTCCCTGGCCTCGCCTGGGGGGCTCCACTCAGTGCCCGGGGAGTCCCGGGGGTCCCACCACTGCCACCGCTCAGTTTGTGTACACCTGAGTCCCGATCACACGCATGATCTCCTTCTGGATTTTGGGGTCCTGAGTATTGATATTGGCATCTCCCACTTGGCCATCTTCGTACCTGGAAGGGGAGGAGGGGGGTCAGGGGGTGTCCCGGGGGGGTCCCACGGGTGCCGGCGAGGTGGCGCAGCTGGGACTCACACAAAGAAGAAGCGGGTGCAGACGTGGTCCGAGACAGGGCACACCCAGATGTTGCCGTGTTTCTGCAGGTCCTTGGAGGTGATCACTGCAGGGGGAAGGGGCTGTTGGACACGGGGTGGGGAATGGAGGCCTCGGCTGGGCACGGCTGGTGCTGGGGGCACAGCTGGGGGTGGGGACCCTCCCTCCCTCCTCCCCTCGCCCAGTGATCCTGTAGGTGCTGCCCATGCCCCCCCATTGCCCCCTCATGTCCCCGCACCTTCGCACAGCGCGATGCAGTTCAGGTTGCGGCTCTGGAGAAAGCGGGACTGGATGGAGCGGGTCTGTGGAGAGAGCAGCCGGTGTTACCACCCTGTGGGTGCCATATCCCCATCCCCATCCTCCCTGGTGTCCTCCAGCCTGTCACCTGGGGGATGGTGTTCATCCTGTTGTACCGCTGCACCAGCTCATCCTTCGACGGCATCCGGTGCTGGCCTTTCCCCATCCCTGTGGAGAAGGAGGTGGTGGCCGTCACTCCCAGCAGGGAACACTGCAAGGGTGACAAGGGGACACATGCCACAGACAGGGATGGCTCAGTGCTCCCACCCTTTGGCCAAGCCCTGGGAACCCCCCAAAAGCAGGCACAGAAGCTTTTGCAGCCTAGAAATCATTGGGGTTTTTATTCCCTGGTGTGTGGGAAAGTCCCAGCCTGGCTGGGAAGAGGCTGGTGCAGGTGATCCGGATGTGGGACGGTGCCGACTCCGGTGCGGGTTCTCCGGCTGGCGCGATGCCAAACCTCCCGGGGCCCATGCAGGGGGTGGGGACGGGAGCGTAGGCAGGACTGGGCAGAGCAGGCAGCCTCTTACCTGAGTATCCAAAGGAAATACTGGAGATGGGGCTCAGATAGATGCCCTTGCCATAGGCTGCTCCATGCAGCTTGCAGGAAAACACCAGGGTGAGCGTGGTGGGGTCACCCCGACAGCTCAGGCGCGGTGACAGTGGAGGCAGCCTGGCACCCCCCACTGCCTGTCCCCTTCCTTGCCTGCCTGTCCCCCTGCTTACCTGCCTGTCCCGTTCCCTGCCTGCCCGCTCCCCTCTCTCCCTCCCTCCCTGCGTTGGGGTGCATTGGGCCCGTGGAGCGGAGCGGTACCTGCAGTTTGGTGTAGGAAGCGTTGACCAGTCCGTTGCGGAGGATGGAATGCCAGTTCTCAATGTGAGAGCCACTGGAAAAAGTCAGCCCCACGTCAGCCCCACAGGGCCCGTTGCGGGGCTCCTGCTGTCCCCCCACCTCGGCAACTCACTGGAAAGCGAAGGTGCTGCCGTAGAGTTTCTTGGCCGTGCGGAACCGCGCCTCCTTGGCCGGGGGGCTGCTGAGCAGGAGGAACTGGTGGGAGGTGTGCATGAACTTCAGCTGCTACCAGGGGAACGGGAAGAGCAGCGGCGGCACCGGCGGGGAGAGGACAGAGAGACAGGCAGACAGACAGATCATGCACGGCCGCCTGGCCCCGTGTCCGGCCCAGCCCGGTTTTGGCTGCTCCGACATTGCCAGGAGGGCCTGTGGCATCACCCACCACACAGCCCATCCTCCATCCCATATACCACATCCAGCCTCCCACGCCTCCCAGGTTCAGATCATATCCCAAGGGATGCATCCTGTGGCCCAGACCTTTCTATGGCTCACCCCATATCCTTACACACTTCATCCTACAGCCCACAGCCCACAGCCTATATCCTGCATCCCACCTCCCGTACCCTTCAGCCCATCTCTGACATCCCACATCCCACATTCCATACCCTCCATTCCCCAGAGCCTGGCCAGGCCCCTTACCCTGCTGAGAGGCAGCTTGACAATGTGGGATCTGTTGCTGGAGATTATCCTTGGGAAGAGGAGGAAGAAGAGGAGGAGAAGGAAGGTCAGATAGGGTGGTTCCATGCTCCTCTGGGAGCAGGGCCAAGCTGGGAGCCAGAACCCACCCCAATGCCATTGGATGGTTGTGACCCCCCAGGAGAAAGGAGCTGAGAGAGTCGTGCCAAAGATGCCCGGCTGCCTCTCACCCTGTCAGGGGGGATGTGGGACAGCAGGGATGGATGTGGGACAGTGGGATGGGGCCACAGCACCCTTGGCCTTACCACTGCAGGAGGGGATGGGCCAGGGGGTCCAGCTTGTCCATCTGCTTCTTGATCTCCAGGTAGGATCCCTGGCAAAGACAGAGGGGGGGCAGGTGGGTGCCCCAGCACTCATCCAACTGTGGGCGGATGGAGATCAGCACCAAAATGCCACTCCAGGATTGGATCCCACACTGGAGGACATGGGGGTGTGAGGCCACACCACGTACCTGGGTCATCTCCCGGATGGACATCACGCTGTCCAGGGCCTTCTGCAGCCGCTCGTAGTTCTTTTTCTACATGTGGGGCAGGAAAGAGGTGGCCATCAGAGGGGTCCTCAGGGCTCCCCATGGCCCCTGCACCCCTCAGCATGGGGGAGCGTCGTCCCCGGAGCTTACCTTGGGGTTAAAGGCAAGAGTTTTGGGGTCGTTGGGGTCCACCACGGAGGGATAAGGCTCGAAGATGATGCTCTTGCGAGGGGACTCGAGGGCAGCGCGGCACATGGCCACCAGCAGGTCCACCACCTTGGGGCAGAGCAGGGGGTGAAGGGGCAGCCCCCCCTAGGGAGATGTTGGGGTCCCCACCGTGCGCAGCCCCTACCTCGGCGCCCGTGGCCACCTCCTCAGCCGCGCCCGACATGACGCCCAGGGTGTAGAAGGAGAAGACGCAGAGCTCCCGCGTGCACACGGCCGGCTGCGGAGGGACAGGAGTGTGGGGAGGGCTGGGACAGGGACAAGGGGGCACAGCCCACACCCCGTTGGCCCCTGTCACCCCACCTTGAGCATGGAGCCATTCTGGAAGACGTGCTGCTCGTCACACACCACACAGTACTCGTTGAGCGTCGGGATCCGCTGCTCCGCGTACTTCATGATCTGAGGGCAGGACGGTGGGAGTCAGTCCCTGCCAAAGAGCTGGGAGCACGCTCCAGGCAGTGGGATGGGGATGAGTAGGATGTGGGGCAGTGAAGAGGATGCTCTGGGCAGCAGGATGGAACTCAGCAGGACATGGGGCAGTGGGAAGGATGCTCGGGGCAGAAGGATGAGGATGAGTGGGAAGGATGCTCTGGACAATGGGATGTGGAAAAGTGAGGCACGGGGCAGTGGGAAAGATGCTCTGCACAGCAGAATGAGGATGAGTAGGACATGGGGCAGTGGGGAGGATGCTCCAGGCAGCAGGATGAGGGTGAGAGGGATGCAGGACTCTCACCTGGACGAGGAAGCCGTACTCCAGCGTGGGGATGTTCTTGCAGTGGCCACCGACCTGCGATGGAGCCGGAGCGGAGCCAGCTGCGTCATCCCCTTTCCCACAGGCACCCCCAGCTCTGCATGGCACTGGCAGCCCCCAACCCCACCGGCACAGTGGGCCCCCCAATGTGCCAACCCCACCCCAGCACAGCAGGACCCCCAACATGCCAACATCCTCCAGCACAGCAGGACCTTCGATATGCCAACCTTCTCTAGCACAGTGGACCCTCAAATGCCAACCCCTGCCGGCACAGCAGCACCCCCAACATGCCAACACCCCTCAGCACATCAGGATCTCCAACATGCCAACATCCTCCAGCACAGCAGGACCCCTGACATGTCAACATTCTCCAGCACAGCAGGACCCCTGACATGTCAACCTTCCTCATCACAGCAGGACCTCTGACATGCCAACCTTCCCTGGCACAGCAGGACCCCTGACGTGCCAACCCCACCCACAGAGATGCAGCACCAAGAGGGGGTAAAGCACCACTTGGCCCCATGGCTGGGCCCCAGCTCCCCAAGAGCACCCAAGGGTGCTGGGAACAAGAAACCCAACAGGGGCTCCCCCCACCCCAGGGGGGTCCCAGCACCCCACAACAAGCGATCTGAGCCTGGAGGAGCCCCTGGCAAGGGAAAGGAGAGGAAAGCAAACCCCGAGGAGGGGTGGCACCCACCAGGATGTTGAAGGGGGCAACACCTGCCTGGGTGCTGGCGGGGGGGTAGCCGAAAACTTCCACCTTGGGGTTCTTCACCATGCAGGACACGGAGCGGTTCATCAGGCGGTTCACGCGAGCCTCAGGGATGCCCAGTTTGCCCTTCAGCACCGAGTCTTGGATAACAGGGAAGCTGGGAGACCTGTGGGCACAGAACCCCCTGAGCACCCGTTTATCACTGTCCCCTGCTCCTCCACCACCCAGCGCCGAATTCATCCATCAGCTGGAGCAACCTCCACCTCTCTGGGCTCTGGTGGGGAGCAGCAGAGTCCAAGTGGGGAAACTGAGGCACAGTGCCAGGCTCCACCCAGGCTGAGGGCACGGAGGGCTGGCACCTTGGGGACAGTGACGGGGTCTTACTTGGGGATGGGGGAGAAGATGCTGAGGCCAGCGCGGAACTTCTTGATGGTGCCGCTCGTCTTGAACCAACTGTGCCGCTTCTCCTGCTGGGTCTTCAGGAAATCGTTGCTGAGGTGTTTCCATTGCTGGGATGTGAACATGCCCAGGATCCTGGCAGAGAGGTGGCATGGGTGCCCGAGCACCATGGGGGACAGCACTCATGGGTGTGTTGGTGTCCCCCAAGCCTGCTGCTTGGGTGGTCCCAGCCACACCCCAGCTCCTTCTCTTCCCCACCCACAGCTGGTGTTGAGCCTGGCAGGGGGTTGTGTGGTGGATAAAATGTAGTGGCACAGGGACATGTGGCATCTGGTCAGTTTGGGGGCAAAACAGGAACTCTGTGGGCCCTCCCCACCCCCCACCCTCAGGTGCCCCGTGTGTTTCAGCTCTTACTTCTTCAGCTGCAGACCCAGCCCGAAGCCCTCCTTGTTGGACGGCTGGAACACCTCGATGGACGGTTCTGTGGGGAGAGATGAGGACGAGCCATTGGTGCCACTGCTGTGCCCGTTCCCAGGGCACGGGGGACACCGTGTCCTGCCCGTCCCCACTCACCGGGGCCATCGAGGTACTGGGAGAGGGAGAAGCGCAGGCGGAGGACGATGGGCTCCGTCCGCAGCACCTTCCACGCCGTCGCCACCTCCTCCTGCCGAGGGAGAGCCACGGTTCAGCACAGCTACAGTTTGGCACAGCCGTGGGGACACAGCCAGGGAGGGGAATTTGGGGACCCCCTGGGTATGTGTGCCCACCCTCCCTGTGCCAACGCTGCCGGGGGCACCCTGGGGACTCACATCGAGGAAGCTGATGTTCACGTGCAGGTCGATGTCCACGTCATCGATGGTCCCGTACTCCCTGTGAAGACACGCGGTGCCGTGGCACAGGGAGGCTGGCACGGAGCCGGAACAGCGGCCCGGGGCCCACTGTGCCAGGGTGGGCAGGCTCAGGGGACAGTGACAGGCACGTGTGGGTCCCTGTGTATCTAGTGTGTGTACCCTGAGACCAGGATGGCACAGGGGGAGTGGCCGGATTGCAGATGTGTGCCTGGAGATGGCACAGCTGGGTGCTCAGGAGTGCCATGCTTGGGTGCCATGGCAATGGCACAGCCAGGTGCCCCAAGGATGGCACAGCTGGATGCCTGGAGATGTCACAGCCAGGTACCTTGTTAATACCATAGCAGGGTGTCCCACGGATGGCACAGCTGGGTGTCCCAGAGATGGCACAACTGGGTGTCCGGGGGTGCTACAACTGGGTGCTCAACATGGCCACATGCATGGGGATGGCATGGCCAGGTATGCTGGGGATGGCACAGGTGAGTTGCTCTAGAGATGGCACAGTCAGGTGTCCCAGGGATGGCACTGGTGGATGCCTGGGAGTGCCACAGCTGGGTGCCTCAGGGATGGCACTCCCAGGTGACTGGTGATGCCATGGCCAGATGCCCCAGGGATGGCACAGCTGGATGCTCTGGGAATGGGCTGGGTGTCCCAGAGATGGCACAGATGGGTACTTGGTGATGGCAAAGCCAGGTGCCCCAGGGATGGCACAGCTGGGTGCCTAGTGGATACCATAGCTGGGTGTCCTGGTGAGAGTGTGTCTGAGGGATGGCACAGCCAGGTGACCTGGGAATGTCATGGCCAGGTGCCCAGGAGATGCCACTGCCAGGTGTTCTGGGAATACCAGAGCCTGGTGCCCTGAGGATGCCATGGGCGGGTGCCCAGGAATGACACATCCAAGTGCCTGGGCACGGCACAGTTGGGTACCCAGGGATGGCACAGTCAGGTGACCGGGCATGGCACAACTGGATGCCCAGGGATGGCACAGCTGGGTGCAGCACAATTGGGTGCCCAGGAATGGCACAGCCAGGTGTCCTGGGCACAGCACAGTTGGGTACCCAGGGATGGCACATCTGGATGCCCAGGGACGGCACAACTGGATGGCCAGTGATGCCATGGGCAGGTGACCCAGTGATGCCACAGCTGGGTGTCCTGGGTACAGCACCCACCTGACGGCCACGGCATTCTCGCTGTAGATCTCCTTCACCGCCTCGATGTCGGCGTCCAGCTGCGGGTGCCGGTACAGGTCAGCGGCGCAGGTCCCCTGCGGCACAGCCCCCACGGCACCGTCAGACACGGAGCCCCCGCAGCCCCAGGCTCGGGATCGCGCTCGGGCTGGAGGTCCCCAACCCCCCCACTGCCCTGTGGGGGCCAGCACCCACCTGGACGCCGTAGAGGAACTCCTCGGACTCATTGTCCCCGTCGGAGTCATCGTCCGTCCAGTACTGGCCCTTGAGGTCCTGGGGGCAGAGGGGTGGGGGGCAGCAGATTAGGTGGGTATAAGGCTGGGGGAGAGGAGATGGTGAGAGGGTTGGGATGTGCTTTGAGGGGGAGCACATTAATAAGGAGTGAACGAAGGGGAGCAAACTGGGGAAGCTGGGTCTGGAGGGAGTTGGGGGCAGTGATCTGGGGGAACATTTAGGGAAGCAGGTTGGGGGAACAGTGGGATGGGGAGGAGGATGAGGGCAGCAGGATGGGGGGAGTGTTTTGGGGGTCAGTAGGATGGGGATGTGGTATGGGGGCAGTGGGATGCAGGGAGCAGGACAGGAAGAATAATTTGGGGGGCAGCAGAATGGAGGAGCAGGTTGGGAGAGGCAGGATGGGGCAGCAGATTAGAGGGGAGCAGACTGGGGACAGTGGAATGGGGACAGCGGGATGGGGGAACAGGATGGGGACAGTGGGATGGGGGAGCAGGATGAGGACAGTGGAATGGAGGAGTAGGGTGGGGGAGTGGGATGGAGGAGCAGGATGGAGGAAGAGGACGGGGACTGTGGGATGGGGACAGCAGGATGGGGAAACAGGATGGGACTGCAGGATGGTGGAACAGGATGGGGACAGCAGGATCGGGACAGTGAGATGGGGGAGAAAGATGGGGACAATGGGACGGAGGAGCAGGTTGGGACAGTTGGGATGGAGGAGCAGGATGGGGGAGCAGGATGGGACTGCGAGTTGGGGGAACAGGATGGGGACCGTGGGATGGAGAAGCAGGATCGAGGAGCAGGATGGGACAACAGGATGGGGATGGGGGGGATGGGGTGCGGGATGGGCACAATGGGATGGGGGAGTGGGATGGGGACAGTAGGATGGGGGAGCAGGATGGGATAACAGGATGGAGGAGCAGGATGGGGACAGCAGGATGGGGTAAAAGAATGGGGACATTAGGATGGGGGAGCAGGATGGGGACAGCAAGATGGGGAACAGGAGGAGGGAGTAGGATGGGGACCCCGCACGGAGCTGCCGAGCGGGCCCCCATCGACCGCGATGGGGGTGGCCCCTCTCCCACCGTCCCCATTCCCGAGCCGAGCCGAGGGACAGCGGGACACAGGGGGACACAGGGGAGCACGGGGATACCCGGGGGGTCACCGAGGGTCGCTGCCCCATCGCCCGCCCCTCGCCCCCCTTAGGCCCGTCCCGCTCATCCCCCCCGCCCCGGGCGCGCTCGCCCCGCGGGCCGCTCCGGGCTGTCGCCGTGCCCCGTGCCCCGTGTCCCCGTGTCCCCCCGGCCCTCACCATGTCAGCGCGGCCTGGCCGGCGCGGGCGCCGCCGCCATTGCTGCCGGGGGGCGGCCGGCCTGACGTCACACCGCGTCACCGGGCAACGCGCCCGTGACGTCACCGCCGGGACCCCCGGTACCCCCCGGCTGGGCCCGGGGGAGCGGCCACAGCGGGGACGGGCAGGGCTGAGGGGCCCCAGTGACCCCAGGGTCCCCAGGACAGGCTCCCCCTGGTCCCAGTTGGGCACCACCGCGGCCCCCAGCACAAGGTCCCCCGTGGGGTGGCCGTGTTGGGGCCCCCCACAGTGTCCCATGGGCCAGCAACAGGGTCTCCAGAGTCCCCAGTACACTGTCCCCAGCATCCCCGGCAGAGAGTCCCCACGGTACCAGCACCGGGTGACCATTTTGAGTCCACCCCTGGGCTGTCACAGTGTCCCCACAGCCCAGCACAGTGTCCCCAGTGTCCCCAGTACAGGGGCCCGGCATGCCCGGTACAGGATCCCTACATGATCCCAGTATAGGATGACAATTTTGAATCCCCAGATGGCTGTCATGGTGTCCCCACACCCCAGGACAGAGCCCCCAGTGTTCCCAGTACACATTCCCCAGTGTACCCAGTACATGGTCCCCAGCATTCCCAGTACAGGATCCCCTCATGGGCCCAATACAGGGTGGCCATTTTGGGTCCCCCATGGCTGTCACAGTGCCCCCACAGCCCAGCACAGTGTCCATGCTGCAGGTCCTTGTGTCAATAGTGTGTCCTCAGTGTCACCACGATCCCAGTGGAGCAGCTGCTATGGGTCACCAATAAATGTCCCCACAGTCCCGAGACAATGTCCCATCATCTCCAGCATGGGGTCCCCAGTATCCCCAGCCCTGGGCCCTCATGGATCTGGCACAAGGCATGCCTGTTGGGCCCCCCCCAAGTTGGCACGGTGTCCCCTGTGTGCCCAGTATGGCGTCTGCACGGCCCCACTACAGAGCATTCACACTGCGCCCCCAGTGTGCTCATTGGAGGGTCTCAGGACCCTCCAACAGCAGCCCAAAATGCCCAGCCCCACAAAGAGAGGGACTCCTGAGGACCCGTGAGTGGCTGGGGGGGTGTGAGTTGGAGGGACTGTGAGTTGGTGGGGCCGTGTGAATGGAGAGACGGTGTGAGTTGAGGGAATGGTGTGAGTTGGGGGGATGATGTGAGTTGGGGGGTTTAGTTAGGGGGTCGTGTGAGTTTGGAAGGATGATGTGAGTTTGGGGGACAGTGTGAATGGAGGGGATGGTGTGAGTTGCAGTGGGACAGCCTGAGTTGGGGGCACAGTGTGAGCTGGAGGGGCAGTGTGCCTTGGGGAGTGTGTGAGTTGGGGGTGTGTGAACTGGGGGGCACTGTCAGTTGGGGGGATGGTGTGAATTGGAGGATGTGAGTTAGGGGTCGGTGTGAGTTGGGGGAGATGTGAATTGTGGGGATGATGTGAACTGGGGGGTGGTTGAGTTGGGAGAATGTGAGTTGGAGAGCGCTGCCCCTTTAAGAGCAGCGGCCCCTTTAAGGCGGTGTCCACTCTCCGTCCGCGCGCGCGGCGGCTGCAGCGCCTCCTCATTGGCCAGTCGGGCGCGTGCCATTCTCAGCGCCTCCCCCGCGCCTTGTGCGTCCGCCGGTGAAAGGAGTCCCGGCGCCCCACCCTTGTGTCTCCCGGCGGGGCGGGCGGCGGAGGGATCCTCAGGAGGCGGTGCTGCGGCAGGCCGGGATCACCTTGACGGGGCGCGGGGGCGGCGCGCAGAGCGGCGGCGGCGCTTGGAGAGGCAGCAGCGGTTCGTGGCGCGGCTGAGCGGCGGCAGGTAACGGCGGCCTGAGGGGCGGCCGCGGTGGTACCGCCGTGGTACCGCCGTTATCCCCGTTAACCGCCGCCGGCAGAGGGGCCCCCTCAGGCGGCGGCTTGAGGGGAGGGGGCGCGCGCGCGCGCGCCCCATGGGACGGTTGGGGGCCGGAGGGGCGCGCGGGGGGCTCGCGGTGCCGAGCACGTGGCCTGCGGCCGCCCTGGCCGCGCGACCCTCCCGAGCATCCCCCGAGACCCCGCGGCGGGGAACGCCCGCTTCCAGCATCCCCCCTCGTGGACCCGCACCGGGAACCGCCCGCTCTGAGCACCCCCCCCCCCCCCCACGACCCCGCACCGGGAACCCCCCCGCACTTGGGAAACCTCGCTGCGAGCGTCCTCCCGCGACCCCACACCGGGCACCGCCCGCTCCGGGCACGGGGAGGCGCGGGGGGGGGTCGGTCCGTGGGGCCGGGGCCGCGCACGGGGGATGGCCGCGCGGTTACAGGGAGCGCGGGGCTGGGTGGCAGCTCCCGGCTGGGTCCTGCTGGCCGGGCTGTGCCCGAGGAGCCGCCAGAGGCTGAGTCAGAGGCAGCCGGGGCCGGTCCGGCCCCCCCCCCGCCCGCACTCACGTAAGAGCCGGCGGTTCCCTCGAGCGGCTCTGACTTTAAATCAGTGACCGGCTCGCTGCACTCGCCAGTGATGCTGTAGCCTCTTACCGCCCCCCCCTCTCCCCCCCGCCCCGCAAAGATAATTAATCTTCCGCCATAATTGTGCCTGCTTAAACGCGTCCAGTTGATTTGGACAGTCTCTTGAACTGTGAAAACTTCTGAAACGTGTTTAAACCCTCTGTGCGGGGCTACCAGGGCATGAATAGGGCTTTTGTCGGTGGACAATGGCAACCTCCCGAGTGTCTCCTCAGACTAAGAAAAGTAGAATGCAATCTCTGAAAACCTGCTTTGTCCTGATAAGGGAATTTAGTATCGTCGAGGCCCAGGTTAACAAAAAAATCAGTGTTTTACAGAGGTTTTTGTGATGCTAATGTGTTAACTTTCTTACTGCTGCTCATCATATTTTGCCTTGGCTCAAAGGTAGGATGACAAAGAGGTTTTTTGGTTACTTAGGCACCTCCTGGGACTTGTTGTACAACCAGGAGTGCTTAATTAAAAAAAAAAAAATCACTTCAAAGCGCATAATTTCATGCCCGATATCCCGTTTATAAAGCAGAATTTAGGCTAATTTAGAGGAGTTTGATGGCCCAGTGAGCCTGGCTGATGCCGGCGAGTTTCCAGCCCATCACCGGATTAAGCGAGAGGTTTTTGTGCCGAGGCAGGAAGCGCTGCTGGGAGCCACGTGCTTGAACCGGGGACTTGTGCCTGTGAAACCCTTCCGAGAAACTTCGCTTTCGGTAGATAACCACCCTGGGGAGTCTGCAGCAGCCTGCATTTTTTTGATTACCTACTCCTTTATCCACCAGAAACTGTAAATATTATTAAAACCTTCATTTCTTGCTGTTAGCCCCGCGTGATCCACCACCGGCCTTAATTCCCTTTGCACCCGCCAAGCTGATAATTGAATTTGGTGAGAACAAGACGTTTCCCAGGCCGGACGGAGCACGTGCTGCTCCTTTATCTCCCGTTGTTTTCCCAGGGGAAGATGGAGCCGCAGCATGTGGTGATGGATGGCACGTAGGGAATGGGGCTGCAGTACCGGGGCGCTGCCACGTGCAGCGACCTTCATCCTGGAGCGGGCCTGCAGCGCAGGGAGCTACACTTCCACCTGTTTAAATGTTAAAAAAAAGACCCAAAACTTCCTTTTATCATGTAAAGCAGGTTTTTACAGCTTGCCTGAAGGCAGCCAGGTGCTTTTTGCTGGGCTGAAAGGCTCCTTGTCCTCTGCAAGGTTAAGCCTGTAGGTGTGTCCTACAAATACCCTCGAGATAAGTCTTTCTCCTCACCAAACATCCGATGCTTGTCGCCTCCTCTCCTTATTTTTTTTTAGTTAAGCCTCCTCTATGCGTTTGCCTTGCGGGGAGGGCAGCTCTGCTGAGCCAGCAGCACACAGGGAAAGTGTTGCTGTCTCCCGGGCCTGACTTTCCTTTTCCATTGCCTGAAAGCTGGAGAGCAATCCCTTTTGTGGGGCTCTCCTCCCGTGGATCCCCAGCTTGCTCCCAGGGTAAGCTTTGGCCAGCCAGGAGCAGGTGGTGGCTTCTGGTTCCCATCCAGGCTTGCAGAAAAGGGGTGGTGTTTTGGGGTGGCCATTTTGTACTTACGTAACGTCGCGACACCCCCTGGTGCTGTGCTCCCTCCCTGAAGAGGGGATGCCAAGCAGCTGCATTTCTCTGCTGTTGAGTGCCTTTCGCCTCTGGAGTGAGCAAAGCTGATGTTTTCGTAATCTTTTTTTGGCAGTCTGAAGGCCTGCCTGGTTTCATAACCCTGGCCTAAGCACTAACTCAAACCATTTCTGCCTCTTGCTGGGGGCCCTGGGCACGAGCAGCGTCATTCTGCAGCATCAGAGAGGTTGTGTAAGTGAGGCTGAACTGTAAATCCAGAATCATCACCCCCCACCCAGGAGCACCCCACCCCCCTTCTCCCTGCAGTTCCTCCAGGCAGTGACACAGCTCTGCCGGTGTGGCCTGGGGACAGTCCCAGTCCCTGCTGGAGCTTCTACTTCCCGTTGTCACCGATAACAGACTTGGCCCTGGGTGGGGATTGCCGGGGTGGGGGTTGCTGCTCCCTCTTGTTTCTCCATCCCCAGGGGCACATCTGGAGGTGCTGTGATTTTAGGCTTTCTTGGCTGACCAGTGGGGTGAGCTGGCTGGAATTAGTCACCTGGCACTGCAAAACCAGTCCTGACCTCAAACGGCTCATTCTGGAATATTCAGGAGCTGGGGAGATACCAGACATCATTGGGACGCCCTGCCTGTAGCACAGGCAGCCCAAGTAATAACCTTGGGGATTTAATCATTATTCCTCAAGGAAGGAATTCAAATTTATTCAGTGCTGGAAGCATACAGGCTTTGTAGGGTATTGCTTACCCCCCTTCTGTGCTCAGCCCAGACTCAGAGCTCTGTTTTCAGGTGTCCTTGAAGTCCTTGCTCCTCTGATTTTAAAAAAAGCGGAGTGGTGGGAAATGCCAGACATTCCTGTTATAAATATAAGACTGGTCATTCCAGTAGAATTCAATTGCTGCTTTGTAAATGTGCGGTGATGGGAGGCCGGAGGGAGCACTAAGAAGTGAATTTTGCTGGTCGTGGGCCTGGCACTGGGGGCAGATGGGTGTTTGGGACACCTTTTGGCTCCTGCGTTTCTGCTCTCGCCCCTGGACAAGGTCATGATGTCTCCAGTTACCTTTTCTGAGCTCACTGAACTGCTGGAAAGTTATGAAGGAGATTCTGACTGGGAAGTGAACTTTTCCTTTCTCTTTATAAAAGCTTTAGAGGGCTTAAAGTTGTATTTGCAAATGACTTGAGTGAGTGGGGGATTTCCATGAGGCGGGGAGAGTTCACTTGGCTATTTTTACGAACTTCCAAGTCAGCTGCGGGTGCAGTTTCTGTGTCAGGATCCCGTTGTTCCCTATTCCAGTTTCTGTGTCAGGATCCCGTTGTTCCCTATTCCTCGTGTTCCCAGAAGCTGTGCAGACCTGCTCGCCTGTGCGTGGAGGTGATTTCCCAGCAAAGGCTTGTTGGTTTTGGCATCTAGAGAAGCCGGCGCTGCGCTGCAGGTGTCGGAGGATGCAGCAGCAAGTGTTAGAGTGCTGAAACAACAATGTTTCAGGGCTGACCAGAGGGTTTTCCTATAATAACGAGTCTTCCTTGGGCTTTTCATGTGGGCAGACCTTCGTGTAGTGACTCCAGTGAATCAGCAGCTTCTGGCAGGGCTGAGGGAAAAGAGGCTTTGCCAGGTCAAATTATGGTTTTGTGTGGCCCGGGCGCCCTGTGCCGCATGGCAGCGGCGATGGTGAGTCAGGGCTGGCTGCGGGAGGAGCAGGACGTGAGCTACGTGAGGAAGGGCTGCGGAGCAGGGGAGGAGCCGCTGCGGCATCGGCCGGCTCAGGGCAGGCCGGGAGGGCACGGCTGTCCTTCTGCTCAGCTCTGAGAGATTTTGGGCCCATTAGTGCCTCTGTCAGAGCTGAGCCTGCTGTGTGTGTGCCTCTCATATTGCTCCATGGGTTACTGGGGGGCTTTATCTGCCTGGGGTGGGTAGAACAAAAACCCTGCTCAGTCCCTGCTCTGTCCCAGCCTTCAGCTGAGCCACAACCCACATTTCTACAGGCACATCTTGTAGAAGGCAGCTCATGCCTGCTGTGA